GCCGCCGCACAACACCACGGTAACCTCACCGGCGAGTTCCCGCACCTAGACACTTCAAGAACAGAAATCTGTTCTCTTTCTTTCCTCCTGATCGCGACTCGTTAGTTCGTTCAAACTCGAAAAGAGCGATCTTTGTTCCGTTGATCTAACCTCTTCGTCCCTTGATCGCTCGATAAAACTCTAGAAAATGGCGATGTTCGCTGCATCGAGACGCCTCAGCTCGTCGCCGGCGTTCCTTGGCTCGATGCTGCGTTTCCATCTCGACCGGGTTTAGGGAGGAGAGAGACACTTTCCGCCGATCAACGTGCCGGCCGATAGGTTCTTAGTTCAATCGATTGCTCTTCGTCAGATGTTTTTTTAATTAACTATTAAAGATTATATCAAAATTTTGGGTTTTTGAAGGTTGTGGGGTGGCTCAGACGCAGAGATCGCTGCAGAATTTTGAGCGGCGAGCGGGAGCAGATGCCGGAGCCGATCATTCGAGCATTTGGCGTCTTAAAGAAATGCGCTGCAAAGGTTAATTACAATTATTTGTTATTTTTTGGTGAAATTATTCAGTAAAAGTTGTTATAAGATTAGTTGGTTACTCTATTTACCATCTGTTTGTCAAAATGCCTAGCAGAATACGTGAACCAGTAATTAATGTGTAGTCGTGTAAGTTGCATGGATCTTGAAGAGTTAGCATGCAGTCATTTTTTTTTTTTTGACCTCCTCTTTTAATGACATCTATGGTGGCACGTAGTGCCAAGGCCTGTGGTTGGAACGCTTCAAATTGAGCGCAACACTAACTCACCCATTTAAGTTATTTGGCTTTTCTACAACTTTTTAGAGTTCCAAACGTCCAACAGAACATGTATGTTAAAATCTGGATGTAGTTGCAGAAACATGAGACTAGCACACCTTAAGTTTAGTTACTACTAAGAGTCTAAGACATTCATAAGACATTCATAAGACATTCATAGAGTCGACACAGAGGTTATCATTGTTGCTGGTATTGTTGTTGTACGATAAAACTTCGAATTATCTGATTTTCAATTTGGTGTACACTGTACAGAACCCAATTCTCAACATGTAATCCATAAATGGGACTTTGTTTCTTTAACCAAAGTAGGCAAACTTTTTTGTTGCAGCCATTTTTTCTTTACTTTTTAAGTTTGAAACAGAACATTAGCTCTTGATAGTTCATGTACTTTGCATCTAATTTCACCCCCAAGGCTAATTCATTCAGTATGTTCTCTCATATTGTCTTATTAAGTCACCCATTTCCCATGTAAGATGTCCTTATAAATGTCATTTCCTTCAAGATATTCTTTGTGGCGGATCAAGACAGTAGTTTGATTTGTATCTCTAAGACTCAGTTAGTAGATACATTAGCACTGACAAGTGACAAACTAGCACAAGATTAAGTTGATATATACTCCCAACTCATGCTTTTGCCTTTGGGTTTGATTGAGTTACAAACCTCCACATGCTCCTCACATAGAAAATTTGAACTGTTGGCCACAGCAGAGCTTGTATGGTAAATAAACACCTGCATAATTGTCTTAGGAGAACCGTAAAACATATAACTAAAAGAAATGCAATAACTAAGTTCTGTTAATTTTTCTCACTCAAAGGCATCTTCACAACATTATGTCACCTCCTAAGTTTATGTGATTACTAGTTGGAAAACTCACTCTGCTAGTTATTTTGACAGCTTTTATGTTTTCAAATTTCACATGTGGATATATTTTCATATCAGAATGTGGTGTTTGTTAGTGCAGGTGAACATGGAGTATGGTCTTGATCCAGCTATAGGAAAAGCAATAATCCAAGCTGCCGAGGAGGTTGCTGAGGGAAAGTTGAATGATCATTTCCCTCTTGTCATATGGCAGACTGGAAGTGGCACTCAAAGCAACATGAATGCCAATGAGGTTAGCATCTAAAGGTCCACACATTTGTTGCTGTAACATGGAAATTCTATGATTGTTTGAAGTTTAAACAAATCATTAACCATAACATCCGTAATGAGCATAGTTGTCTAACTAGTATGTTTTTGCTTTTGCTTTTGCTTTTGCTAAAGAGTGAAAGAGGAGATAGCATCTTTGTTCATATTCCAAAAGGAGAAAATATTTATGGTGACAAGGCAAAAAATAATCCATATTCTCACTGTACATTTGCTTGAGCTGTAATAGTTCATCTTTTACAATTAGAATATTTTGTCTTTTATATGACTTAGGGGGTGTTGTTTGCATGCAACTGAAAGATGCGAGTGAGAAAGTGACTCACATTTAACATTTAAGGTGTTTGTTTGAAATATTAAATGCAACTGGTTGTGAAAATAATGCAACAAAGTTGCCTCGTTGGATTTAATGCAATTTTAACCTCTTCTAAAAGGTTGGTGAAGTCACATGAAATTGACAAAGTGGGGGACCACTTTTAATTAATTGACTTCAAATATATTTATTATAAACCATATTTTGCCACATCATCACCTTCACTTTTGTATTTTCAGTACTATTTTTCCTTTAGACAAACATTGTATTTTACTTGCACAATGATGTGGTTGTGGAATTCATTTGTAAAAAAAAAGGCAACTTTCACACTTCAGATTCACTTTTAATTTGCCAATCACCCCCTTAATTGCCAAGAGGTCAGACTTGAAAGAAGGACCTTCCTAGCCTGAAAAGGGAAAGGTTTATGTAATCTAGAAAACATTAGTATTTTTTTGTGTCCTCTATCAATGAAGCTCAACAATGAAAGGTCTCTGAAAATATGCTATAATGTTCTTGAGCTATACAGTAGATTATCATCAGCTTTCCCTTTATCAGCCATGAAAGTAAACTTTTCTTAGATATTACTTTTGAAAATGTTACAAGTCTCTAAAGATTCTGTACCTTGAAAACAAGCAATTTGCTTCAACATTTGGTAAATTACAGTATTTTCTGTCTCTTTGCTTTGACTTTAACAATGAAATTTCCATATGGTTCTTTGTCATCATTTCATTATTATCTAAATATTTTCTAACTAAGTGGGTCCGGCCAAAGCAACAGCACCATATTGAGAAGGCTCCATTGAAAATCTGAGCAGTGAATAGTCTTGGAATTATTGAATCCTCTTCTTAGAATGCTAGATTATGATTAGGTTCTTTGCAAACTACAAAAGAAATTCTTTCTATCATATATTATGTTTGAAGATTTTGAAGGTGTCACTCTCTTGATTTTGTTTTTCAAATTTCAGAGAGATATCTACATTAGCCTTAGCTTAAGTCTAATTTGTTGATACCACCTGTTTTTTAAGTTTGACTTTTATTACCAGACTTGATGCGAACATCACTAGCTTTCCTTCTATATAGTTCTTTGTGTTCATGGCAACATCACTAGCTAAGCCTTTTCCCTCCAATAAACAACTTTTGTGAAGGAGCATAACTTTAATTGAAAGCCCCCATGATAAGCATGATGCTTTTATGATCACTTGTCAATTTGACATTGGTCCTTTGAGTTGATCTAAGAATATTGGCCAAAGAAGCTACACTGGATAGTTATAGAGTGTAGATTTTGGGTGTTGGAAGGGAGGGAGGGATTGACATTTTGAGTGGGGGAGGCATCCGCCTTATCTCTTATATGGTTTAAATTTGTGCCACCAAAGATTTATTTTCTCAACTTCTAGACGTGATGGTAGGGGGGATGGATCAATCCTACTTTAGCTTCATCCTTGAGGTATCTGCAGGAGGTCTTGAGGTATCTGCAGGAGGTAATTGTTTAACAGGTATATAATCGGAGATGGATGTTGTATCAAGCCCCAACATAATTGCAATTGCATGGAGAATCTGCTGTGCTACAGCATCAAGATTCTTAGTTGGCTCTGTCTGAACTTATCTTACAGATACTAGGAGCTTTATCTTAGTTTTGCATTATTCTACCACTTCTGGTAAGTTGATAAAATTTCATCACAATAAACTCGAAAATCCTTAAGCCAAAAGCTCATTCCGATCTCTTGATTATAAACGTGTGAGCCAATCAGCCAAATTGTCAACTTAAACAGCCATCAAACTGCTGTTGCGTGAAATACTGTTGCAATACCAATATGACACATGGCACAATTCTCTGAAGACTGGGCAGAAGGAACACCAGGTCATAGAAGCTTTCCTGTAGGTATTTCTTTTGGTTGTAAGGCTTGCATAGGAAAGAACCTTGAAGCTTAAATTACTCACAAAAGCAGTTAATTTGGCACTTGCTTTCTCATAAAAGGTCTCTTACAGATCTCAGTTATCCATATCTTCTGGGGAAACAAGGCTAAGCAGTTACTGTATATTTAAGCAAGTTTCTGTGGCAGATAGATATGTCTGTCATGTCTTATATAAATGATCATGGAATTTTTTTGGTAGAAGGATGTCCTACATAGTATGCATCTTAAGTGCATTTTCTTGGTGTTGAAAATTACCATATCCTCCCTAGTTTTGACACATTCTTCTTAAGTGAACCTGTTCATTGCTACTCTTTCTACTATATAGTTCCTAGGCTTATGACTTTCGATATACCATCTGCTTACAATGGAGGTATTGAGCTGCATCAAATGATAATTGTTCCATATTGTCTTCTGTTACAAAGCAAAGACAACAAGGTTGTTTTCTCCCATGATAGTAGTCTAATTCTCATGAACAAATATTTCAAAATCATATGTGAACTGCGTAAAGGTATATAATAATATAATCAATATTTTGTTTTCATTTACTGGTCTTGGAATCCATGTGAACAAATGAACAGTCTGTCGGTTATAAAATGCTATGAAGCAAGGTCTTATATCTGTTGAGTTGTGAAATATCCATTCATGAAGCTTTTTTCCTTTCTGGATAGGTGAGGTACATTTTCGGTTCACTTGTAAAGCAGATACATTTTTGTTAGTATTGAACTTCTGTTAGTTTTGAACAGACGTAGTCCTCACTGAATATCTTTTATGATTGAATATGATACCAAATTGCTGTTGCTTCCAAAACATGAACTTTCTCTTTCTTCAAACATGCAATTTTTTATACCTTCCTTTCTCTTGTTCTCATTCACAGGTGATTGCAAATAGAGCAGCGGAGATACTTGGTCACAAACGTGGCGAAAAGTTTGTACACCCCAACGACCATGTTAACCGGGCTCAGTCTTCAAATGATACATTTCCAACGGTAAGTTTCCATTTTTATATGCAACCATCTACCTCGGAGCAACCTTACAACTTTTCAGAGATGCTACCAAGCTAATATGTTAGCTTTATGGTTAGAGAAAGATTAAGGGGTGTCCTAGATTAGTTTAAATTTGTCAGACTCTAATTGTAAGAGACCTTGTACATTGTCCTTCCTTTGTTATTTGCATTATTGGTTGTTGTATGCATGTATTATTCTAAGGCCCGATTGGCTTATTGGTCTATACAACTGTTGTAACTTTTAAGTTGTAGTTTCCAAGCTGTAGTTTACAACTGAGGTGCAGTCTGACTGCATGCGAACTGCAATTATCGTCCCCTAAGGACTTTACGTTAACTCTTGAGCAGAAGCCAATAACACCTAACTTTGTTCTTTTGCTGTTAAGTGATTTCAAATGAAGGAATGTGGAATTGGGAATTATATCATGGATCTGGTCAACTATGGACTACATTTCTATCACCAGCTTAAACAACATTCACTTACTTCCTTTGATATTGGTTAAATTCCAGTACAATATCATGTGCATCCCTTATTATTGGTATATGTCATATGTCACAGTCATGTCCATTATCATATAAGCCTTATCCTTATGAAAATCGGTTTGGCTATGAAGAACAATAATGATTCTTAACTGAGAAGACTCAATGGAAATCTTGACCAAATTACGGGCAAAAAGGGGCTGTCATGAAGCAGTGAGGGCCAATTGGCAGGTAAGGAGGCCAGTGCCAGTTACCCATTCAATAAACTGAGTCCATTATGCTAGCGATGAGAATTGCATGTATCCTGCATTATCCAATGTATTCCTTTTATGGCATATTAGTAGTCTACTAGAGTATTTAGTGGTTTCACACTAACAATGTATAATTGTGCTGGCTGTTTCAGGTTATGCATATCGCTGCAGCTGTAGAGATTAATTCAAGGTTCATACCAAGCTTGAAGCAGTTGCATTGTTCACTGCATAAGAAGGTTGAATTTTTTGTTTTTTTTAACTCTCTAGCTATTCATGATTGAAGTACTTGTCTGGATATAATTTTGTGTGGATATAATTTCACCTCTACCAAAGATGGTTAAATAGTTTTCCTTTTGTTTAATAAAAACATGAGATGTATGCTAGTTTACTCTCATTGGTAGCAAATTGAATAACATGGTTTATATCTGTGTATATTCCTAATATCTATCCTCTTGTGATGTTTGCCAATAACAATAAGGCCACGTTTGTTACACTGGAATAGGGGGTATTGTAATCCCCGTATTATATTCCTTGGAATGTGTAGATCTTGGGATTATTTTAGTCCAGTTCAATGTTTGTTTTCACAGGGAATAACATGGAGACTAATTTAAAATAGTCCATACTGTTTGTTTTTAGGGGTATATAACCGTTTGGACTAATATCTATCTTAACCAGAATGATCTTTTCACCCTTCACCTTCAGTCAACCAATATTGTAATAATGCATTCGTTTGGCAAAAAAGTCAAAATTTTGGACATGACTTAATCTACAAAGTAGACATACCATCGATAAATATTTAGGACACAGCAAACAACTTATTCATTCAACAAAACACAATCATGAAAAACTAAACAAGTAATTAAACATAAAATTCTCCCACATAGTACCAAATAGTATTTGAACATTAAAAAAACATTATTGACGTAGCCTGATCTATCAAGTTCTAGGAAAAGTGATTAAACAAACTAATATTCAGAGCAAATGCAAACTCACACTAAAATTGCAGCGGGAAATAACTGTAAACATCAAACTATAATAAACTAAAAACTAATAGTAATAAATGATGCAAAAACTACGGCAAATAAGGAATGCGTTCGCGATAAACCTGAGGAGTGAAATGTCGAGCACAGTCCACAAACCTATTGAGTACTCAACGTTGAATCGAATTCCTATTAGCTAGATCCTACAAAAGGGTATCAAAATAGAAGGGTCAGTTCAATATAAGATTAAGGATGTAACAATTTTAATTAACCACAATGTAAGCAATCTGATTAAATGGGAATAAGGGCTTAATCTGAGTTTTGTAGTTCTCTGTCGCTGTGGAATTCTGCAAGGATCAGATCTGTGAAGGAGAGGTTGCAATGTCGAGAACACCGGAGCTGTTCATGCGTACTGTTCACGGGTATTGTTAACCCGAGGGTTCAAACCTTAAAGAATACGCTTAAAAGGTAGGATTGGAATCATTCTAGAAATCTCTTTGATCAATAATTCTCATTCAAAATCTACTGATGATTACATAAAAGTACCGCCCTTTTATAGAGATCATACTCTCTTTAAAAGTACGAGTTCGGGAAAATCTTTCTATAGCTAATATTACCCTTAGGTTTTTTTAAATATTACATTGTTATTCTAATCTATTTTAATTATCTTATCTTCTTTGAATTGGTAACCAAATGATTTATTCTATTAATAATGAGACTCCACATGTTATTGGATAAAATAGATATGTTTCATATAATTCAAATCCTTTACTTATTTCGGTTCGTAGAGAAATCTAAAAAACATATGCTAGCCAGCACCTAAAAGTTTTTGAACTTTGTAAAAAATATTCTCCAAGTTATTTAAATTAGAAAACACCCCTACAAATTTAAAATTTTATTAAAGCATATTAAAAATTATAAATTTTACTTATCTCAATTCAGTGAGAAATCTGAAAAATATATGCTAACTAGAAACTGAAAGTTTTTTAACTTTAGAGAAAATAACTTGTAAGTTTTAAAAATTACAAAAACACCCCTAAAAGTTTAAAATTTATAAAAAATATCTTGAAAATGTCAAACTTATAAACATACTAAAAACCTACAAATAACACAAACAGCCCCCAAAAATTTATAGAATTTGCAATACACTAAATTTTTTACAAATTGCAAAATAAAACCCTCAAAATTATAAAATTGATAAAAAATTCTGATAATTGTTGACCTAACAGTACATTAAAAATATAGGAAATATAAATATCCCCTACATAATTTATAATTATAGAAAACACCTTTAAAGTTTTAAAAATTATAAACAATCCTTTAAAATTTAAAATTTATAAAAAACACCTTAAAATTTTCAAATTTATTAGTAAATTGAAATCATAGGAAGTATTAATAGTCTATAAATAATTTACAATCTGTAGAAAAGGCTTATAAATTTAAAAAATTACAAAAAAATCCTTCAAATTCATAATTTACAAAAAAAAACTCCTTCAAATTCATAATTTACAAAAAAAACTCCCATGAGAATTTTTAACCTATAGACCACAAAATGAATATGCAAACTTACTAACAACCCTTAGAAAATTAAAATTTTTCAAAAAATATCATACACCTTTTAAAAGTATAGGTTTAGGAAAAACTTTTCAGGGTAAATATTACCCATAATTTTTTTGTAAAGAACATAACTAATTAAAAATCTATTAAATTTGAAATTTATAAAAAATATCCTTAAAATTTAGTACATTGCAAATTACCCCTCCAAAGTTTGAAATTTTCAATGATTTGTTTTGTAATTCCTTAATTTCAATGTAATGTTTAATAGTTTTGTGTATTTGTAAATTACAAATTTTAGGGTGTTTTTTCACACTTTTTAAAATTTTTGAAGGTGTTTATTTTATAGTTTTCTAAATTTTCATTGTGTTTTCAGTGTAATGCACATATACATCAATTAATGATGATATTGAAGAATAAGTCGTTCTTAAGGATTATTAGACCATAGTTAAGTGTGCACATCACTATTCCTAGGCAGTATAGTTTATATATAATTTTTTTTCCAGACAATCTATGTAGTGGATAAAAAGATTATGACTTTAATATATTATTTTTTATAAATTATATTTAATATGAACCCACCATATAATTTTGACTGTGGTCATTATAATTTTAATACGTTTGATTGATTGACTATATACGTATATAGACCATATATTACTTTACTTTCTCACATGAACTAACATTTGGTGCTTAATAATTTAAATTATTACTTTTAAATTTAATATAAAGAGGAGCTCTAATAACATTTATTTATTTATCTATAGCATAATACAATCTTAATTCCTATTTTTTGCTGGAGATTTATTCCATAGTTACACATATCAAATTAGTAACTAAAATAATAATTATTTATGCTTAAATTAGGAGAGATTTATTCCATAGTTACACATATCAAATTAGTAACTAAAATAATAATTATTTATGCTTAAATTAGGATGATTGTAGTTGGTCACTCACTAATAATTATTTATGCTTAAATTAGGATGATTGTAGTTGGTCACTCACTATGAAATTTTTATGAAGATAAATACCTTATTTTCGATAGCCATTTGCGCTGCCCATATATATTTTATAAATTAGTTCTTAATTTGATATTTTAAATTACTTTTTTTTTAAAAAAAATTTCTTCTTTGACTTTTAGACTGTGTAATCACTATATCACCATTCTAGCAGAAATGACCTCACTCTAAATGGCTTCAAACCAATGTTTGAGTTGCACTGAAGTATATACTATTGTTACTATGTGTATATATTTTTTAAGAAAATCATGTTAACATTTTTTAAATAGAAGAGAATATTCTAACATCTGATATTATAAAATTAAATATAGCCAATTGAATGATTAGCAAAAGAGAACTTACATTAGAAAACTGTGAATAATAAGATAAAAAAGAAAGATAATGACATTGCCAACAGTACTACAAATAGCAAATTACAATGTAAAGTTAACGTATTTTGTGGAGCCCAACTATTGGCTATATGCATCGAGGTTTTCATATATATACTTTATAATTTATTAAAAATGGTCATATAATCTTATATAATAAAATTGATTTATTAAAAATGGTCATATAATCTTATATAATAAAATTGATTTAATATTGAATAGTAATATCATTGTAATAATATCATTCATATAATCTTATATAATAAAATTGATTTAATATTGAATAGTAATATCATTGTAATAATATCATTATTGGAAAAAATTCTTCATGAGTTGATATGCTCTTTACAATATATAAGCTATGCACTCTAAATTCTTGTGTCTTTTATAGAGCTAAAAAGTTTGAATACGAGCTTCTAACATGTTGCTCTCACATAGCAAAATTCACTTAGGAGATATGGATATTCTATATGAGTTATGTATCCTATATACAAAATAATTGTTCCAGGCAAGTGAGTTATAATAGCATTTTTTATTCCCATCGTTTGGGGTAAGATTTGATAGGGACTTTGCATCAAAGATTTTTTTTTATATTTAGAGCACATGGCGAAATATATCATAATCTTCTTGTTTTAATTTCGTAAGAAAATAATTCTTCATACTTTCAGTTTTACTTCTATGATATAGAGAATAAGCTATAAAATTGAATGAGAATATTAGATAGTATAAATATGAGCGAAACATCAACTAAAAGTTAATATGAATATGAGTCAAACCACAACTAAAAGTTTAATGGACATATTGTAAGTAAATTCATCTGCAAAATTCTTTTGCGAATTGAATGATCACCCATCTTTTGAAGACTTCAATATACTAATAAATAAAGATGTTGTACTAAATTAATGTACTTATAACTCACAAATAGTAGATCACGTAGCCACAGTCTAGGTTGAAGGAAATAATGATAATATTTTATTTGAGAGAGATTATTGAGTTGATGATCAATCCCATAAAAAACTTTGTTTTCTTTTTTTCTTTTTACTCTATTTTTATCAATTTAAATAATCATGATATTCAACCACGTGCATTGCACGTGCATCTCAACTTATGATATTCAACCACGTAGATTGCACGTGCATCTCAACTAGTTCAAATAAACATAAATAAACTCAAAATCTTATCTAAAAACATGTAAATGCTTATCTCTAAACAAATCAAATCAAAACAATCTCGATTCTATCCGTAACCTTTTTCTTATCCTAACAATAACCAAATAAAATCTGAATTATCTCAAACCGAATAAAATCTGATGATATCTCAATAAGATCTACGATGCCAAGTCCCTCTAGAATAGAATCGGATATATTGATCCCTATCAATTATCCATTAATTAAAGGACATACAAATTAGCACCAAAGTATATGACATACATGTAAGTAATGTTCAAATTTGAGCAGTAAAAGTATTTCTACTTATTGTACTTCTCACTTCACCTTTAAATAATCAGTTATTTGAAATGGGCAAGTGCATAAATTTGCAAAACCTCTAATGTTCTCTCGTCTGCCTCCATTTCTCGGCTGAAAATAACATAACCAAGAAATAACATAGCCATTATTGAAAAAAAATCTTTATTATTCATCTTTCTCCTCTTCAATCTTAATTCCTCGTTGAACAAACTCTAAATACTCTCAACAAGCTAGAGGGATGCACCAAATCCGACACCAATGAGCTCAGATGCAAGAAGGTCGTTATCAACCTTCCATAAGATAATTTTGCTGCTCAGCAAAAATCACAGATGCAAAACAAAAAGGAATGGAGGAAAAAAGAAAAAAAACACTGGGAAAAAGGAAAAGAACAGGTGGCGATTTTGTCCCAAATTCTTAATCCCTTCTAGATGATTCATACCTAGATTGGAAAGGTGGGGGTGAGTTGGGTTTGACGTAGTCCCTTTTTGGGTCTTATATAGTCCCTCCTTGAAGTAGTACAGACCGGATAAAAAACTAGCATGGGATAAGAAGGCGGGTCCAAACTATTTTAAATTAGTACCCGGACTATTTAAAAAATAATAATGGCCTAAAGTGCTAATTATATGGCTAAGGATACTCTGACAAAAGGTCTGGTCTCACAGCTGATCGTCATCATAATTTCAAAAAATGGGGTTTGCATGTATCCTAATTGAGCAGTGAGCACTCTCCTCACTTTCACCAAAGCTTCACCTAAATAATCTGTTCTTCGTCACCGGAAACTTGTGTGCCTCTGTCCCTTAGTCCGCATCGTTATGTATATGCTAAGATCTGGTCCTTGTCTTGGGAACTATATATTTTTGTACATGTGAAACGGCACGGTTCAGATACCATGTTAATCATGAGAAGACATCCATGTCAAGAGAGCACATAGAGATTACTATTTATTATATCTGTAATAATCTGCTACAGATGCCTGATATGTTTGCAGTTATTGTCATGGCCTATTTTCTTCAATATATCTGATCTTTGGGTTTACTTTTGCTTTCAGTCTGTTGAGTTCAAAGACATTATTAAAATTGGGCGAACACATACTCAGGATGCAACTCCGTTAACCCTTGGACAAGAATTTAGTGGGTATACCACACAGGTAGCTCGTGCTGCTTAGACTTCAGTAGATTAGGGTTTATTTATGTAGATGAATATGTATGCTATGATTATGAACTTTGATGCATGTCATTGGTTACAATGTTATATTGTAGGTAAAATATGGGATAGCTCGGGTGACTGATACTCTACCTCGCATGTATCAGGTAAACTTTAATGTAATATCAATGCAAAATTGATCTTTGATTAACAAAGCATTTCTTATTTGAATTATTGTATTGAGCAGCTAGCCCAAGGTGGCACTGCAGTTGGAACAGGACTGAACTCAAAGAAAGGGTAGGTATCGTGTTAATGGCTTTTGATTTGTATCTTGCTGCTACTTAATTATATTTGGTTGGCCTCCCCATTTGATGCACATCTCACCCAATGAATCATTGTCATATTTGAGCGTATTATTCTAATTCTTATTTGTATTCTGCTTTGTTGTTATAAAAGCTCCCATTCATGTTTCCTCTACTTAATGGAGTTGATTTGAGTGACATATCTATCTAATTGGAACTTTTAATAGAACCTCTTCACTAGTCTTTCTTATGTGATGCGCTCATTTGCAATAATATTTTCTTTTCAAATAAATCTCTTAACTTAGTAAGCTTATATATGCACTGCAGCGCTGGCATCGGCGTGTATTTTGAGAATTCACACAGGAGATTTCCCTTAGAAGTTATGGGAAAGGATCATGAGGTGTGCTTTGTCCTGCTAGTATTCGCAAGGCTTGATGTTTGTGTTCTATATGTCGTAATGTGACAACATCATTATTGTGCTGTTTTCACATTAAGGTGCCATCAACTATGGGTGCAAAGCTCAATTTCCAAATTGACAATATTTCAATGACCAATAAAAAACCTGCCTTATAGGCATATGGGAAAATCTTCTTGGTTTTCCCTGCCTGTGCGCATATATTATGGCATCTCTGCATCCATAGATTAATGAGATATCATAGACTAGGCTTGCTTTCAAGGTTGGAATTGACAAAGTGGAGAAAATATTGGAGAGGTGAAAGAGAGCATTAACAGATGAGGGAGATGACAGAGAACAGAAAGAATGAAAAAAGTGGAGGAAAGAAGGTCAAGTAAGAATAATGTTGCTATTTAAACTGTTATATCACCTAATAATTAGCATTGATCAATTTCTATGTCGATTTTATTTGTTGTAATCCTTCTGCATAGCTCAGATAGGTTGAACTGTAGCTTTTATTTTTGGGGTGGGTTGGGGGAGTTGAAATTTAGCTCTCTTGACTTGATCTAAATGCCATCGGCGACTCCTATCAAGCCCCTTCTCTTGCTGTAATAGTTTAAATACAATCTGATCATAGTTACTATAGCTAATAGAATCGCAATACATGCTGCTAACATAATTTATAGTGATTGAAAATTACTACAGGCAATCAACAGCCTTTATCTATAAATAGTTGTAACATTTTCCTTTTTAAATTAGAGCAATATTCAGAGAACATATAATGCCATTAAGGGTAAATTCGGAAAAGAAAACCTTTCATTGACGACCCTTCTTTTGGACAACCCTTATGAACTATCAAACTGAATGAGTAATCCAACTGTTAGCATTTTTGGGTTATTTGAAACGATCAACATGGAAGTTAAGGAATTAATACTCTTGGGATTCACATTCAGGTGTTTAACTATATGTTTGTAGATTTGACAAGAATAAAAAATTTTAATAGTTGAGTACTTAATTTTTTCAGTTTAATAGGTCAAAAGGGTTAACACGGATGCAAGTCATCAATGGAGAAAGTTCTTAAAGTTATGCTTATGTTATTTATCGGTTCTTTCGAGGTATTTGCATTAATTTTGGCTTTACCCATGCACACTCATGCTACTATTAGAGAGTCTTTTCTTTGTTTAGTATTTTAGTCCTACATCGGGTATCCTTGTAATCTTGAACTATCTAGCTATCTATATATAATAAAGATGACCGGCCCACAAAGGGATCAAGTCAATTCTCCTATCAGTATGTTATGAAAATCTGAAACTCTATTCTTCCTCAAATCACAATTAATTAAACCCTAACCAAAACCCTAATCTTCTATCCCTAATCTCTTTCCCGAGTCCTCAAATCAGCTGTCTCATTTTCTAAAACCAAAACACTAGTCTCTTTCTAAAACCAAACCCCTAACCTCTTTATCTATCCACCACCTCACGTCCTCTTCTCTTTTCTGACTTCATCATCTGCCTCAGCCACTTACCCAGCAGACCTAACCCACTTGTCAGCTTCTACCCAATCTACTTCTTTGCATCAAGTTGCTACTATTCTTGAGGAGTCTGGTGATTTTGATCTTCTTGTTGCACTTTGGAAAGGTAAACGATCTTGTACCGCGAAAAATCATATTGCAAACTTTGTCTTTGTTAGTTATATATCACCCACTTATGCTGCTTTTGCCTCATCATTATCCTCTTTGTCTACTCCTAAATCCGTTCGTGAAGGTCTCCTCGATTTAGGGTGGAAACGTGCAATGGATGAGGAAATCGTTGCCTTACATCCTAATGAAACTAGGGAACTTGCTACTCTACCACCAAGAAAAGTTGCAGTTAGTTATAGATGGATAGATACAATGAAATTTCTTCCAATAGGTCAAGTGGAGTGATTGAAAGCCGACCAGTTGCTAAAGGGTATGCTCATACCTTTGGCGTGGATTACTTGGAGACGTTTTCACTGGTTGCTCGCTTGCATTCAGTGAGTATTTTATTATTTGTTGCAGTTGTGAAAACTAGCCATCTTTTTAGTTAGATATCAAGAATGCGTTTTTGCATGGTGATTTGCAAGAAGAGGTGTATATGATTTAGCTAATGGGATATGAAGTTCACGGGGAGCCTATTAAGGTTTGTCGCCTTAAAAAACCATCTATGGATCGAAGCAATCTCCTCGTACATGGTTTGATAAATTTAGTATAGTGGTTAGCAACTATGGCTTGAAGCACAGTGCATTAGATCATTTCATTTTTGTGCGACATTCTACCATGGTTACTATTGTCCTTGCGGTGTACGTGGATGATATTTGTCATATCGGGCAATGATCATCAATGCATTCGAGATTTGAAACTACATCCCTATTCTCATTTTCATATGAAAGGTCGGAGTTTTACAGTACTTTCTTGGATAGAGGTTGCTCATTTTTCTACGGGACTAACTTTATCTCAAAGGAAGTATGTTCTCGGTCTTCTTTATGACCGATATGCTTGGTTCAAAGCCTGTTTGTACAAATATTGACTCTCATATTAGACTTGATCAAAATTTGGGCAAAGCTCTCTCTGATTCTACTTGTTATTGAAAATTGATTGGCAAGCTTATCGATTTGATGGCTACACTTTCCGATAAGAGTTCTTAGTTGATATATGCAAAAACCACGCCAGCTACGCTAGACTACAGCTTGTTGAGTACTCTGATACCTGAAAGGTGTGCTAGGGAAAGGGCTTTTTATCATGTTTCTAACAATTTAGATATTGTAGGCTACTCTAATGTTGACTGGGCAGGTGATCCTCTTGTCGACATTTTATAAGTGGTTCTTGGACTTTTGTTAGTGGTAATTTTGGTCACTTGGTGCAGTAAGAAGTAGAAAATTGTTGCCCTCTCCAATACTGAAACTGAGTCCAAAGCTATGGCTCATGCCACCTGTGAGATGACTTGGGTTCGCTCTCTACTACTGGAGATGGATATTGTTTCCTCGATGTCCATGATGCTCCATTGTGACAATCAAGCAGCTATCTACATTGCATGCAATCTGGTGTTTCATGAGCGAACAAGGCATGTTGAAGTACACTGTCATTTTATTCATGATATGATGCTATCTAAGAAGATTTTTACTCCACATATTCGATTGACCAATCAGATTGCTGACATACCTGAGAAAGCTTTGCCATGATTGTTGTTTGTTGCTGAGCATGATTGATATCTATGATGGGCATGATTGATATCTATGCACCAGCTTGAGGAAGAGTATTAATGTATTATAGTCTCTTTTCTTTGTTAAGTATTTTAGTCCCACATTGGGTATACTTGTAATCTTGAACTATCTAGCTATCTATATAATAAAGACGACGGACCCAAAAAAGGATCAAGTCTATTCTCCCATCATAACAGCTACCATGTCCCATTTTAGTATTATGTCCTATCCTTTAATTTTGATTATTTCTTTTGTTCTACCCGCAAATTAAAGTCACCAAAGAATACATTAGTCCATCTCTCCCTAACCATAGTTTATTGATTAGCTAAAACTAGATTGTCTACCTTATTGATCGTTCTGTTCATTTCCCATGCCTATCTCCAGCATTTAGACTAAAGGTACTTCTTGCAAGATTCTCTTTTATTTTTACACAAGTGATAACATCCATTATCTGTAAGTAACTAAATATTAACTTGTTTAAGTTTCCTCCATAAAGACATGGGTATTTCTTTTATTCTTTTTTCCTTGTTAAGCTGAGCTTGAACTTTTGTTTTCCAATGTGATTCAGTGATTTAAATTTTGGCTTATGTTACCATCAAACCATCTACTTTAAATGTTATTTTGTATGGTTCCTTTTTACATCATGTTTCAATTTCGTGTTGTGTAACAAACCGCTACCCGTTTATCATTAATTTTATGCACTATGATAGTCTGCAATTAGGCATTTCCTGATTAGTTGCTTTACTTTGCTCGAAGAAGGCTTATTATTTTGTTTCATAACATCGGGTCTAGCCTAAAGTTTTCTTATTGAAACCCTTGTTGGCATACAGATTATTAAATGTCGCATATATTTTTCCTAACATGCACTTTGCAATCTGGATGTCCATTTTCCTTGAGATGCAAGGACACCCATCATTTTGGTCTTTGAACAAATTTTTCGGTACCAATTGCTAAGTTGCTAACAATCTGTTGCAGTTTACTGTCATTTTAGATCTTTTAATAATATTAATTCCTTTATGACTGCTTGACATTTCAGATTTGATGTTAAGATTGCTGCCGCAGTAGCTGAGGAAACTGCCCTACCATTCATCACTGCTGAAAACAAATTTGAAGCACTAGTTAGTGTTTATCTATTTCAATACTCTTTTTCTGTTAGAAAGGGTCATAATTGTTGAAATTACCTTTCCTCTTTAAACGTCAACTAAATAGCACTTGAATACCTTATAGTTTCATTCACTTTGCACTTATATGCCCTCACTTAGGTTTTCGCAGCATATATTTACCGTAGTTGTTTAAAATTGGCACTTTGAACCTGTTATATGACACTCACATGCTAGTTCTAACTGTTATATGTGAATATTCGGGTGAAAATATTCACGTCTACACAACAGAGGGTGCCAAGTGCTATCTTTCAACAACTTGGTGTATAAAATGCTGTGAAAAACAAGTGAAGGTATGTAAGTGCAAAGTGAGTGAAAGTATAAGGTATTTAAATGCTATTTAGCCTTAAACTTCCTGTGCGCTATAGAATTTTCTGTGCCATACTTATTGAGTAAAACTGAGTGACATATCTACTGGTAAATACTGGAATGTGCTCTATTTCTATTCTATTGTATGGCAAGTTATTCTAGGTTACAATGTAGACTGAATTTAGAGTTAAGGCACTATAATTGTGGGCCTATCAAATTGTGTTAAGTTCAAAAGTCAGTACTCTTCAAAACGGAACGTGTCACTATAATGACCATGCCTTTCTTGGGTATATGAATGACTTGTAGAGGTAGACCTAGTCAATACAATGTATGGTTAACACTAGAATTTCCAAAAGGCGAGCTAGACCACCATAACGCATAAATATTCGTCAACAATTTTTCCATATTCCCTTTCATAGTTTCATAAGCCCATCCTGTCCTCACTTGATAACCTGAAGTCGCTTCGGACCCTAAAGTCTTTCTTCTAGGGTCTGTGATCAACAAAAAGCTTTTAATTAGTTATAGGGTGTCTGCAATACAGCACACGAGCATCATATGTTTTCTCTGTTCTTCATCAAGCAAATGATTCATCGCTCTTTATAATTTCATAGAAGCTAATTTCTGTATTGATTCTGGAAATGTAAAGCCTTTCCTCTGGGGTGGGGGGGGGGGATTNGAAATGTAAAGCCTTTCCCCTGGGGGGGGGGGGGGGTATTATCAAGAAGAAGGTTCTATTAACGGGTATGGTGTCCACTGCCCACCAAATTATGGTGATGTCCTCTTTCGGGCTAGCATATATCCTCATCTTCTTTCTCTGTTTATTTTGAATTAAGATTCAAGACATCTTCAAAGTTTGCAGTAATTTTATTAAAATTTGTAAACCGTTTATTCTATGTGTGCCTGACTTTGTGGCAACATGTGGTGCAGTCTCTTACGAGCTGATTTATGACTGCCCATTGAGCTTAGATCTGAACTTCTATTTGTCAATAATTATTTATCTTATAGGAAAAACTTTTACTTGGGCAAATCCAGTTGGACTTTTGTGTTCTGTAAGTTGCATTTGGTCACCTAAAGAAAAGAAAAGAAAAGGTCTTCTCTTAATCGGTAATAAAATAATTGGCAGCAAACAGTCTGGATTCCATTTTCTACAACCAGGAAAGAAGTAACTTTACATATTATAGGTTTGTCTCTTCACCCTCTAAAACTAAAAGGCTGTCTACTGAATGGGTTTGCATTATGTTCTTGGTATTCTTTGAGTTACGGAAGATTAAGGTTTTATTACTTCGAAGAAATTGGTAGTGCAGGTTGGTTCTTGGAGCAGTAAGGGCTTTTGTGTTAACAACTCATATGTATAGTGCAGTCCTTTGAAAGAGTTGTGAACACATGTTGAAAAAGTTTTGTTGTCAGTAACTTTCCTTGAAGAGTTTTGAACTCTGAGAAGAATTTTCTATTTTTCTCTGAGAAATAAGTGCACACCTTTGGACTTTCTTCTGGTAGCACATCCTTTTCTCTAGGAGGAAGTTAGAATACATACATACATACATACATACATACATACATACATACATATATATATATATATATATACAGGCAAAAAATAAAATGTATAAAAATTTAGTGATCCTAGTAAGGACTTCATATCTTATAACATTCACCTGGCAAGACATACTTGTGCAAAGTTAGTCTAATAATAGTTTTAATTTGTTAACTTTGATTTAGCATTTGGAATCATGTACTTGAATAGGTGTAAGACTGCTCACTCATTAAAAAGACAAGACCAGGATCCATGTAACCAAAAATAGTTAAAAGCGAATCTCCTAACTCCTATCTACTTTGCTTCTCTGTTGTTTGTCTTTATTTTCTGTACAATATGGAAAAAAAAACAGAGAGAGAGAGAGAGCGAGAGA